TACCATAAACTATCGAAACACCGAAACAAATTGTCACCTTAACGAAATATGATTCGTAATTAATCTTCAAAGAGAAATCGATTGAAAGCAAATTTCAAATGCACACACATACATACACACACACGCACACACACAACAATTTCGGGGGCACGCAAAAGCTGATGATAATGGCGTTAAACCAAAACAAATATTTCCTGTCAATTTTCTGGGTTAGAGCACAAACTTTGAGCTACACTTTTGATGATATTTACCATTTTTTTTTTGGTGTGGTCTCATGAATTTTTAATCAACTATGCGCTAGAGTTTTCGGCCATTAGGCCGTCAAAAATGCCGAACGAAAATAATCGGTTTGCCGCTTGATAAATGTCAGAGTATGTATTTTTTTTTTCACCCCAACGTGAGGGAGACGAGAGTCCCCGACAACAACAGCAACAGCAACAGCAAGTGGGACTTGTTAATTTCCGACAATAGTAGAACGCACCCAATGCCAGTTTACTTAGTCATTATCCTGGCCGTCTCTTGCAAATGGCAAAATCAATTTGTTTTTCAATTTTAATTGCAATATCGTTTAGCTACCTTACAAGTAGGCGTTGCTCCGCCCCGCTTCGCACCGGTTCGCCCCGCCCCCATGGAGCAGTGCGCTGCGCCTTAATTACATTTCAGCGTCTGTCCGCCTCACATGTCAGTTAAATGTCAAGTGCAGTCGTTGCTTGTCGTTTGGCCAGCGTCTATCCACAGGGGGCACCCGAATAAACGCACCGACATTACATACGAGAGTTGTCTTCTCCTCCCCCCCGTCACTCCAGCCACTAACTACTAATAAAAATAAAAACTATTTTCGACAGTCCGGCTAGCTGTCCGACGGTCCGTCAGTCCATTTGTCGCTTGTTGTTGTTTCTGCTGAGACTTGTCATTTGTTTTACTCACTTATCGACGTCAGCGACAAACACAATTGCCTACATTACAGGTAATCAATTATGCTGAATTATACATATTTGGAGCTCACTGCAGCGCCCCTTGGCTTGAGCTTTGCTTCAAATTGATATTCAACCTATTTCATATTCTTTTTCTCTCGATGACCAAATTAAGTGCACTAAATGCGCACATACATGGGGATATATACATATATGTATGTGTACATATGTTTGCGTGTATGCGTGCGTGTGCCTGCCCAAGGGTTAAGCAGGTGGCAAGGCAAGGGTGAACTGAAAGCTTTCTTCTGAAATTCCTCTGTACTCATTGTAATTGAGGTTCGAGTAGTTGGACTACCAAAAGGCATTTGCTGTAAGCGGCTTAAAGCTGTGAACAAGATTTCAAGAGTTACTAAAGCGATGAGCAGCAATTGAAAAGGTTTCAAATTAAAAGCTGAGCTTGAATAAATATTTGTTTAATATTTTATAAATGAACAACAATTTAAAATGTTTGCAATGATAAGCTGTATGTAAAAAATTAGTTAATAGATTTAAGTCAGATCATAATGGCAATGCATTTATATATGCCTACAAATTAAAGTAGAAATAAATTTTAAAATTAAGTTATATTAAAAGTAATAAGTTATACACAACATGGACAAAAAAAAAAAATTCTAGTGCCCGTATTTTTTTAAATTCAGTTAAAAATTAAAAAATCATTAAATAATCATCATATTCAACGTAAATAATTTAAATAATTTATTCATTATTTATTCTTTTGTAATAAATAATAAATTATTTAAAACTTTTATTTTAACTTCTGAATACAGACAGATGGTAAAAAGTTTTTATTAAAGTAATAAAGTCTTGCTAGAAAAATCACATCTTTGGCTGAATTAAATTTTTATTTTATTACACAAGTCTGCTCAGCTGCAACACAATACTAAAACAAAGGAATTTTTTTCTCTTTAGAGTACCTCAATAGTTATTAAATAAATTATAGTGAAGTTTGCAATTTTGTTTGTGCATTGAGCTCATAAAAAAAAAATATCAGTTGTCTCATGTTGCAGTCACTTGAAAAACGAGAAATCTGCAGTTACATTAACATTTCCGCTGCTCTATAAATTATGATCAATATTAATGACAGGATGGAGCCCCTTTTGTTGCTCGTAACTTAATATGGGCAACATGCTGGGTGCAGTGAGCTTTATAAATCCACTCGTCGGACCCCATGATGCTGCATGCCATGCACCAAGCAACATGCTGAGCCAAAAGCTATGCAACACATGCCACACACAGTCGCACTGCTTGCACCCCCCATGCGTCCCTTGGCTAAGACTCCTGCTCTTTTTTTTTCTATTGCTCTTTATCATTGCCGTGAACATGAAGTCGACTTTTTGCGTTACAACTATTGACATAAATGCCAAGAGAGGATATTACCAATTGCCTTAAGCCAATTGTGTCATGAATACGCAGCAGCAGCGGCAGCAGCAGCAGCGACAGCGACTGCGACAGCAACGGCGGCGCCAGCTGACGTCTATGACGCTGTTTAGGGGGCGAGATGGTGCGCGAGGAGGGAGCAGTATTCAGCGTCTCAGCGTAGGGGCAGGGGATAAGGATGATGACGATGACGTTGCCTGAACGCACACAATGAAGCTTATAAACGAAATTCAATAGCTGAAAATCGGCATCCCATCTGTGCTCCTTTGGGATTGGGTAGAGAACTATTCACTATCAAATTCGAGACCAGCTTCCCACTATTTTTCAAACTGACAGATCGTTATGGCATTATGCATTGTGCGACTAGTTTTGCTGAAGCACCGCCAACCCCAAAAATGCTCTAGCCACTTTGGCAACTCATGCTCCCTATCTCGCTCTCTCTCTCTCTCTCTCTCTCTCTCTCTCTCTCTCTCTCTCACTCTATTTGTATCTGCCTGCTGCAGCCTCTTTGGCTGGCTCTGTGTTTGCTCTGCCAATTTCCGGTCGTACAGCAAGAAGAAAATAGAATTTGAGAACGCCCAGCCCATTTGCTGCAGCCATTTGGCTTAGCTGAAAACCCACATCTGTTTGTTAACGTTAACCCATTGCAGTCGATGCGTTCAGTG